GGCCTCCTCGGGCGCGGCGGGGGGCCGGCTCTGTGTGGGGCGGGGGCCGTTAGGTGGGGGGGGCGGCCCGGTCCTGTCCGGAGCTGCGACCGCCGTCCCGCGCCCGGCGGGCCTCGCCGTAGAAGCGAAGCCCGGGACGAGTTTCCCGCCCTGGACCGGAACCACCACCCTGTCGGCGCGCTCGCCACCCGCGGCGGGCCGGACTCGGCTCTGCCTGGCCCGGGCCGCCGGCGCGAGGGGCGGCCGGTGGGGTCCTCGGGGCCGGTGACCCGGAGCGCGGCCCCCGCCCGGCCGCTCGCTGTTTGACCTTGAGCGACTTGAGCGCAGTACGGGGAGTTTCTGGGCTTGCGAGATGAAAGGAGCCAGCCAGGTGATCTCTAAGTCGGGGCAGTTTTTCAAAGCAGTGATTTGGCCAAGCAGGTCTTTGCGATTTCGAGGCGGGTGCTGCCGAAGTTGCCTCCGCTTCAGGGGCGGGCGCTGTCTCACTTCCCGTGAGTTTGGGAGGCCGCTGGGATGGGAGAAGCAGCCGCCCAGGCGTCTCGCAAACTGACCCACGAAAGGCCTGGAGTTCTGGCGCTGAGTCCTTGGAGATTGAGGGCAGGTGCACACAGAAAGCTGACTTTCTGTAAATATGAATGTGGGCAGAAGTCGCCAAGAGAAAAGAACTTAGGAGAAAAAATCAGATGAGTAAAAGGGGTGCGGGTAAAACGCAGTACGCCTAAAATGTAGTGGCGGCGTCTAGTTTTGTTACGCAAGATCCGTGTTGGATCTTTAAGATGCACTTGTTGAGGGAAGTGGTGTTTGTCCCTGCACCGCAACTCAGGTTGAGGCCTAGAGCCTCCGCAGAGCCCGAGGCACGGTAGGTTCTCAAAAGATATTTAATTATTAATCAGAAAGGACTTGCCTTGGGTTCTCTCTGTAAGGGTGGAGCTGGAGCTTGAACTTGCCAAATCACAGCTGATTTCTAGGGTTTGCTTTGTTGTGGTTGAAAATTTAGCTTTTCTGTTTTATCGCCAGAGTTTAGATTATAGGAAACAGGAGGAAAGAATGGAAAATGTAAAGAAAGCTTTCAACAATAATGATATAGTTGAAAAGATGACAGGAATATAATTAGGGAGGTAGGGATTCTGTTGCTAACGGTGCATGTGTGGGGCTCAAAAGTGTGTACTGTGAGTTGTCACTATTGCGGTGAAGGAAAGAGTGTGCTAAGTTCCTTGGGGGAAAATCAAAAGGAAGAAAGTACTGGAAACACCTGCTGTTGGAGACATTAGGAAGTCGGGAAAAAATGCCACCTGTAGAGTCAGCTGGTTAGGGCCACTAGCACAGTGGTGGAGGGCTTGCCCACAGTGCAGCACACCGGGGGTAAAAGCCTGTAGGTGGCGCTGGCCTAATGTACTGGTGGTAGTTTTCACGCTGAGGAGGCAGAGGCGTGCAGATCCCGTGAACACAAGAGCTTGAGATTAGCCTGGGTAACAGTAAGCCCTTATTTAAATTAAAAAAAAAAATTAAGCCATACTAGGACTGCTACATTCATGAGAAGGGACGATGAAATATTTTTTGAGACAGGGTCTTACTATGCAGTTCATGCTGGACTTGAACTCACTTTGTAGCCCAGGCTGGCCTCAGACTTGCAATGGTGGTCCTCCCTCAGCCTCCAGAGTACTGGGGTTCTAGGTGTGCGCCACTACACCCAGCCTTAGAATACTTTTTACAGAGGATGAAATTTCACTCATGAAAGGTGTTTTCTCCCTCTTTCAGTCTTTAGAGGATTGTCCTCTAGATGAAGATGAAGACACGTTTCAGGGCCTTGGAGAAGAAGATGAGGAGATCGATCAGTTCAACGATGATACGTTTGGGTCAGGTGCAATTGGTAGGTGACGATTCTGTGTTTCGCTGTCTCCTTGGCCTCTTGCTGCTCCGGCTCTTTGTCCAGGCTGTGAGCTCATTGATCCATTTGGCAGTGTGAGCCCTTTCAGCGTAGGGCACCCTTCACCTAGGACAGCACACCCTTCAGCCAGGGATGTCTGCGCCTCTGGCCTCAGGTCAGCCGTGATTCTCCAAGCCAGAAGGCCCAGAGCCTGCCTGGTAGCGGACAGTGACCTATTAGGAAGCCGCGGCACCCGGGAGCCTGGCCGCAGGGGCCTGCGGGCCAGGAAAGCCTCTGTTTTCCCATTTGCTCACACCACTGGTGTCACCTCCTGAGCTGGCAGAACTGTCATCAGATTCTTTTTTTTTTTTTTTTTTTTATGTGTGTGTGTGTGTGTGTGTGTGTGTGGCCAGCTCAGCCCACCAGGGGGCGGGGCTGGCTGGCATGTGGTGCTGGGGGATTGAACCACAGTCCCTGTGCTTTGCTAAGCTTGTTTTAAATAGGTGCTTTAGACCACTGAGCCATCTCACCAGCCCTGTCATCAGATTCTTGTAGGAGCTTGAACCCTCCCCAGAGAGCGGCTCTAGTTTGCGAGCCTCTGAATCATCCCCAAACCATACCTGAGAAATTCTCTGGTCCCAAGAAGGCTGGAGGCTCTTCTGAGCCCTGCGCCTCCCAGCTACATAATCCGTGTGACTTGTTAAGGCGCACAAATGTTTAGGGAAGTAGATTTTAAAAGAGACAGTCCAGGTCGGGGAAAGGTTTTCATAACAGCATACACAGTGTAACACTGGCAGACTAGTGGAGATTCAGAGTCTAGCATGTGCACGTGTGTGTTTGAAAATTAAGCCTGTCGCTACGCTACTGCGGGGCCATTATCTTAGAGTATCTTCAATAAAATAAGGAACTTGTTATACCAAGAGCTGCGTTGCTGGGCAGGCTTCCTAAGTTATGGAAATCTTTCTCACCCCTAGATACAGAAAGATTTTACAGGAATCAAAAGGAGTAAAAGAGCTGAGCTGATCTTATAGCTGGCGTTTAAGTCCTGAGGTGAAGTTTAAAGGAGTAATCTTTACACTAAAATTTGGATACAAACTTTGCTTGGAACTACCTTGGAGCAAGTGGACTAAAAAGTAAAATGTAAGGGCCAGCAAAATAGCTCAGCGGATTACAGTGCCTGCTTAGGCAGAGCCCAGCGGCTGGTGTTTGATCCTGCGGAGCTGGCCCTGCCCCCGGGGCGCACCTGTAATCCCAGCGCTTGGGAGGCTGAAAATAGGAGAATCACTACAAGTCCAATCTATGTAGTAAAACCCTGTAGACCCTGTACTAAATACATTTTTTTAAAAAAAGTAAAATGAATACTTTTTAAAAATCATGACTAGGGGCTGGGAAAATAGCTCAGTGGTGACTGGCAAGCACAAGGACCTGAATTAGATCCCCAGTACCGCAGGCCGCGCTGGCACTAGAACCCCAGGCACTGTGCTGGCCCTGATGGCACACACCTGTGATCCCAGCACTGGGGGGGCTGAGACAGGAGGTCACTACGAGTCTCAGCTATTTACGTGAGACCCTGTACCAAATAAATTAAGATAAAAGCCTGAGTAGGTAAGAGTCAACGTAGACGGTTTTGCTTAGACTGCTGGTGTTAGAAAGCTGCAGCGTCAGTGTCTACGCTGTGTATGCTGGCTTTCTTGGAACTGCAGCGTGCCTGTCTGCCGGCCAGTGCTGGAAGTTGAACAGTGAGCTAGAAGAGGAAGCTTAGCAGTGTGGTGTCCAGGATGTCCGGTGGCAGAAGCCGGGGTCTTCACGAGTGCTGACGGGTGCTGGTTTTGCTGTGGCTGACCAGCTGCAGATTGCACTCACACAGAGCCGCGTGGACTGGCAAAGGTGAAATTGTTCACTGCTGTCAACCATTTTCAGGACTTCATAGCAAACCGAAACTGTCCTAACTGAAAGGAGCAAGAGAGACGTTGTTGGAGTAGAAGCCCGGCTCGTTGTAGGGGGAATTGAAGACGAGTGGAGCCATGGCGGGGGGGGGGGCGGGTCCCCGAGCAGGGCAGCATCGAGGTGCTGTCCCTGCAGGCAGAGGACGCTGTGAGGGCCAGTGGGCACGCAGCTGGTGGGCACCCAGGCTGCGATTCTGGAGATGAGTTAGCAATGGCTTACAGGACACAGGAGTAGCAGCAGGTAGTATGTGCTTGTCTAGAGCGCTTTCTGTGACAGTGCTCTGCTGAGAATTACCACTTTCTGTTTTTGGCCGGCTCAGCTTGCCGCTTGGTGAGGCTGGCACGGCATTTGGTGATGGGGATTGAACCGATCCGCAGTCCCTGTGCCTGCCTAAGCTTACCTAAGCAGGCACTTTAGACTGCTGAGCTATCTCGCCGGCCCGAGAATTACTTTTCACAAACTCTTCACTCGCAGAATGAAGCTGATGAGAGTGGTGTATGCATCTGCTGTGTTAGGGTTGGGCAGCTGTGGCATGACCAAGTTGCTTGCCTGGCAGAAGACGCTCGGGCCTGCCTTCTCATAGTCTTTGGTTTTCCTCATACAATGGCAGTGTTGTGGAGGTTTTTTGCAGAATTGAACTCAGGCTCTTGCACTTGCCAGGGAAGCACTTACTCCACTGAGCCATCTTCCTGACCCCCAGTGTTGTGTTTAAGAGGGTATAGCAATGTACAGAGCTGTGTTTTGCTAAGAGAAAAGTATACAAAGTTAAAAGCTCTTGGGTCCTCAGTAGGACAGTGTGCGGTTCAAAGGAAATGTGTGACCAGAAGATCCAGTGAGGGTTTTCCAAAGGTTTTTAGATTAAGTACAGTAGCGGACAGACAGCGATTAACTCCGGACTACTCCGCTTCAGCTTGAGCACACTCACCCTCTCATGCTTGTCATTTCTAAAGCACTTTTGGAAGACCTTGTAGGTGTCTCTTGAGAGGTGTAATCAAAGGCACAGTTCACGAAAATGTCACTCGGAGGCTGCATCTACCCTCCTCGTCAGGGCGGGCGCCATCTGCCTGCTGGGTCCTCCTCAAAGTCAAAATGACGTGAACTGGAAATATTGTGGCCAGCTAGAGCACATGCAGGCAGCCACAGCAGGCAGCTACAGGCACTCGGGAAAGAGCACGTGGGAACTGCTTGGGAGAGCATGGCTGACTGGGGTGAGTGCCTTCCAGGTAGAGCAGGGAGATTCAGGCCAGGAGGGATGTTTTTTGTTTTTTTTTTTTTAATATTTATTTATTTTTATTTATTACATTTATTTATTGTGTGTGTGTGTGTGTGGCCAGCTCAGCCCACCAGGAGGCGG